GTAATGCTGCTAATAGATAGTAAATTAATAGGCAGTTTTGGAACATGTAAAACATTTGATAAAGGTAAGCCAAATGGCAAAGATATAGATCTTCGACCAGCAATGGAGGAGAAGGATCAGCTAACCTCACTTTATCCTTGCCAGAAAGGAGGGTGTATGATTGGGAAAATGTGGACTTACCAGTCATGTGATTGGAAGCACCAAAATCGATAATCCATGGAGATTCAGAGGTATCAGTAGACACATGGAATGCAGAAGCTAAGTTACCTGAGGAAGAAGCAAAGGAGGTTAAAGGAGTAGGTCCAGAATMTGTTTGTGTGAGAGCCCTACCATATTGCTCCAAATGGTCACGAAAAGGCAGTGATAATATATTCCTTAAGATCAGACCTAGGGGGGCAACCCTGAGAGTTCACAGTAGGTCCTCCACTCTACAACTCATGAGAGGCCAAGTTGGCTGATGTGAACCTCTTCTGATTTGGTTTCTTGTTCTGTTCTTGTGCTGAATTCTTATTTAGGTCCTATGCCCACTTCGGCTTACCATGCAATTCCCAACATGTTTCCCGTGTGTGCCGAGATTTCTGACAATGAGTGCACCACAGTTTATCCTTATCATCAACCATTTTCTGACCATCTCCCTTTCTTGCTGAATTGGTGTTGACTCTTACGGCTAAAGCAATGGTCTCCCCCTCAGGAGGATTCATTTTCTGGCCATCTCCCTTTCCTCGGATTAAACCAGTGCATACACCTCTTGSACAGAAGGAAAATCCTTGCTGCCCAAAATTTGAACCCGGATGGGTTTATATATGGGATTAAGCCCTAACAAAAAGCAAACACCCGCTGCTGTGGCACTAACTGTTTGTAGGCTTTGGCATCCTTTTCACTCTCCCAGTTAATACTCTGATAGTAATCTAACTCTTTCCAGATAGATGTGAGGGCAGAATAGTAAGTGGATAAGCTTCTTTCCCCTTGTTTACATGTTGCAGACTCAGCTTACAATTGATAGATTCTAGCATAGTGTTTCTGCTCGGAGTAAGTTGACATTGCTTGTTCCCATATTTCCTTGGCTGTTTCGGCCTACATAAAGTTCCGTTTAACTGATGGTAGCATAGTAGTCAAAAGCCATGACAAAATCATGCAGTTTTCCTAGTCCCACTTACCATATTCAGCAGTACCAGTCCTAGGTTCCTTCACTTTTCCATTGATATACCCTGCCTTACCTCGAGCTGTGGTGTACAGCCGCATCTCCTTAGACCATGTCAAATAATTTCTGCCATCTAAGGGAGTAATGGTCGTTGGAAAGCTCATAGAGTCAAGATTTCTGTTCATTCCTCCTTGGTTGAAAGAAGTTCCATTGATTGCAGAGTCTTCAGAAGCCATAACAAAGGCTGTTATCAGAAGATTCAGACCTACAACCCTTCTCCCGCAGTCCACACACTCACAAACACACACAACCCTTACTGTAGGGTTTAAAAACAACTGCAGTCACAGCAACACAGCACTTGCTGTCACAAATCAACAGGTCTACCTGACCTTACAAGGGCTGGTTTAAGTCACACACAACCTCTACGGTTCTGCTGATGTATTTCTCCATCTGAATGAGGTCACACATGACCTACACAGGTTCTTCACCCACACAGTTTTGGGTCACAGACCCACAAGAAGTATTAAACAAGTCTACACCATTCGGCTAGAGCAGATTTCAGGGTGTTCTTGGTAACATTACCAAGAACCAATGAAAACAATCACTTCAGTATAGGTTCCTGATCAGTTCGATGAATTCTGAGAAACAGTCCACAGACAAATGGGAGAGAAGAGAAAAAACAACAACCGACCTCAATAGAACTAAGTCAATCATCTGTCGAACTTGTTTTCTTTTCCGTTTCTGTTAAAAAAAGAGAGAACAGGGTCCACCAACGAATCTCAATGCAGGGTCAAACTTGTTTTCTCCACTTTCAGTTCAGATATGTGTTTTGCAAAACCTTCAATCAGATAAGATGCCTCTTACAGAGCGATGTCCTGCTCTGATACCATGATCTCGATCAAGAGGGGAGAGAGAGGAGGCGAGAAGAATTTTGACCAAAAAACTCAAACTGGCGGCGCCAGTAATTGTGTATTTATATGATAGAGCGACAATATAAAAAATAGAAGATAAAAAGACAAGAGTGCCCCTGCAGCACATAACTATAGAGTTACATCACCATACTACTGAATCTGGGTTCAGTAACCACCCCACAACCACCTTGGAGTTTCCTATTACTATCTGTTCCACTCCTAGCTGTACAGCAAACTCTACCCCCTTGAAGGGCAGCTAGCAGTTCTGCCCTAGTGTTACGGTTCAGCACAGGCTTAGCCTTGCCTACGCTTGGCAGGCTTACGTTAGGGACATGCCCGTCATTTTCGCCTGTAAGATTTTTGGGAGAACTGATGTCATCTT